CTTTCTTTATTATTATTATTATTATTATTATTATTATTACTATTATTGTTGTTGTTATTGTTGTTTTATAATTGTTGTTTATAATTTGTACAATTAACCTCCCTGTGGTTCGACCCCGGTCTTGCCGGGTTATTTATTACTTCGACACTCCTGCACTTGGGAGAAGACATCAACCTTTTAGTCGTGTCACTAGGATGGATGGAGATGATTTACCTAGGCCTGTGAACTCTGATTCTGTGAAAAAGTATTATGTATGATGTGTTTCATCCAATCAAAATCAATTAAATGAAGTTTTGGCTAGGAAATTTTCTTTGCATATACCTCACCAAAAAGCCCATGGATGATCTTAATGGCTCAACAATTTGATCTTTCAAATTTTTTACAAGAGAACCCATTCTTCTTAAATGAGGTTTTAAAAAAATTGATTTTGTTTATGATTTCAATGAAATAAATCAATGATTTGTTTAGGATAATGTTCAAAGCAATTCCCTTGAAAGAGATGACCATACAAGTCAAAAACATGCAATTGGAATAACTATCACTCAAATTTTGTATTGGACTTACATTTTATCAGCATGAATAATGGTTGGTAGTATATTAGCTTGTCATGGACTCACAAAACATGGTATCTTATAAATCCAAAGCATTACGCTAGATGTGAACAAAGTTTATTGGTTTTAACTGATCTTACTTGAAATGAGGAAAGACCATCTTTGATATTCCTTTCACTTTCTTTTAAAATTATCCTTTGCAGTCCCAATTTGAGCCGAGTCTATTTAAAGCTTTTTCTTTCATAATAACCTTAACTAAGATCACACCCTACACTAGGGGCAAAAAGAAAGAAATGATCATGGAAATCATCTTGAAGACATGTGAGCTTATGAAGTTTGACAACAAGGAATTCAACAAAAAAATTCCAAATAATTGAGAGAATTCCCAACAAATAGAAAAAAATTCCTAATTTGGAATATTTAGTATCATTTTGTTGTCAAGATAGCAAAAGAAAAGATGAAGATAAGATAACAGTGATCAATAGTTTTCAAACCCTTAAACACTTTTTTTGAGCTTATGAAATCCTCTTTCTTTTATAGCATTGAGCCATAAATACATTACGTGCCTTTAAAGTCCTTTCTAATCAAGAAAGCAACCTAGATCAATAAACAACGTTCTCAAAATATAAGAGACTTTTTCATAAAGAGTCATGACGTAGCAAATAATTATTCATTATTATTCATGCTGTTAAAAAGGGTGTTTCTAAAAATAAAAGGCAATTGTTCCTTTTCCCTCAAAATACATTCAAGCAATCGATTGAACACTTTGAAAACCAAAACAGAAGGTCATCTCATCACTTACCTTCATCTGAGATTACTTTTACTAAGAGATTTAATACAAATCCTTAGAGTTGCATAACCGTCATCAGCCAACCGACATTCAAGTCATCGATTCTCCCTCCTCAGCCATAAACGGCCATCTAGACCACCACCATCAGAATCCTCGTCCTCAGATCTACCAGAATCAACCATCTTTTGGCCGGAATCTCACTAGAAAAATTCACCGCCGTCAAAAGTAACCGCGCGTGAGCCACACACCGCTAGTGGCATTTTCATAAATTTTCGATAAATCCGAGGGTATTTCAGTCTTTTATCTATATAGGGGCACTCAGGTAATTTTCTATGATTTTTTATGGTATTTTTTGATATTTTTATATATAAATACTTGTAAATTTTTGCATGTAAAAAAGCAAAAATAAACAAAAATAAATAACGACGCGGGTCCAATACCCATTTTATCATATCACTGTTCATGGGTCAAAAACCCAATTCTCAAGAATTGATATACCTATTTCTCAATGATATCAAAATAATTTTTATTTTTATAAAATAAATATTATTTGTCGACACGTCTCTTTTATTTATAGAAAAGGACCGATGTCAAAAATTTAAATACCAAATACGGATTATGTCCATTATTATTTCTTTTGGTAAATCAGACGTAACTCTCTTTTTTAGGGATAAACGTCGACATTTTAGACAAAGTCTCCTAATTTTAGGGATTGATGTCATTTTTAACGTGTCTCCTATTTTTAGGGACCGACGTTAACCATGTTAAAAATTTACAAATAAGCTCAAAATATAATAGCATTTGAATCAAATAAGAAGAAAACACAAGTAAGGGTAACCTTTATCTGAAAGGATGTTTTAAGGGTGGTGTCTACCTTCCCTTAATCATAACTAACCTAGTACCCAAATCTCTGGGACCAGTGTCTAATTTTGGATTTCTAGTTCCCTCAAATTACTAGATAGAGACTCCAATAAAATCTTTATTTCCCCCAATCAAGAGAAAAAAAAACTAAATTATTCTTTTTGTTAAAACAAACAAAAAAGAGTGGAGTCGTCGCCCAACGTCGTGTAGCGACACACTGTTCATATGAAATGTGAACAATAATGTTTTTTTGCTTTAAAAAAACTAATTTAGGGTAAATTAAATTTACTCGTACTGTAATCTCATTTTTATTCCTGATAATATTTTACCTGATTTTATTGCATGCTCAAAAAATCATGGAAACTGTTGTTCTTGTCGAATGAATTTTTTATGTAATGGAATTGTAGATAGTTTAATGGAAAAATAAAAAATATTTTATAAAAAATATGTTTTTATTTCATAATGTAATAGTAGTAGTTAAATCTATAATATTTAAATTTCAAACCATTAATATTAATATATATGTATTTTATTTATTTTATAACCTTAATTTAAAAAGCATTATTGACCAAACATATTAAACTACTTTTTATTCAAACTCACTTTTAACTAGAGTTTTAACCAAATATATATAAATATCAAACTAACCTCAACTAAAAATATTTTTTATAAAGTAAATTTTTTCAAATCACAAACATAAAAGCTACCTCAATAACGATCACATTCCATCTCCATCTCCGATCTTTGCTTACATCAATTTTTGTTTTATTTGATCTTTCCTTACATCAATTGTTAACATCAAAAGATTAAAGACATTGAATGTGTTAAAATCACTCAAAACCTATATAAATATATACTTATGATTAAAATGAAAAAAAACAAAGAAACACGAAATATTTATAATTTTTCCAAATAAGCTTTATTTAATGAAACAATTTGTTTAACAATACCAATGGTGTTGTTGAGTAGGATTATAGTTGATAATAATAGATAATTGATGAAATCTACATGTTAAAACATTAAGAGGATTATGTGAATCTAATATTACAAGCTCTTTGTATTCAGAAATGCAATAAATTAATAAAATAAATGCTACATAAGCATTAAATATTTTCATAGTTTTAAAATGTGAAAGTCATATTATATCAGATTTGTATAATATTGTATTTCCTAAGAGAAATCTTATATTATTTAAAGTAAATTTTTTATTAAGTGCCATTTATTTAGGGAAAATAATTTCACTCGAAACCTCTATAAATCTATACATATGATTATAATAAAAAACAAAGCAGCATATAATGTTTGCTACTATTCAAACAAAATTTCATTTAGTGCAACAATTTGTTTAACAATATTAATGATTTTATTAGCAAGATAATACTTGATAATTGATGAAAACTTCATAATTAAAGCACTATGAAGTTGTTTGAATTGTATATTACAAGTTCAAATGCAATTAATTAAGAAATTAAATGTCATATGTTCATTAAATAGTTGAAGTCTCCAAAGATGTGTTGTAATCTATATTTGGATCCCTAAACAAAAAAGAAATAAATAAAAAATAGTCAGAAGAAATCCAAAAAAAAAAAACAGTAGTGAGAATAGGATGTCGGAGCGCCCAAAAATTGGTTGAGGAGGTTTAGAAATATAAAGATTGAAATGTGATAGTATATATTGAATTGATGAGAGCCCTACTAAAAAAGAAAATTCAATTTGGGGAGAAAAATCTAAAATTAAAATGATGTAAAAAAACTAAAAAAATATTAATTTGAGATTAAAAACTCAATTTTTTTCAAAAGAATTTTTAAAATATAAAATCAAACAGAATAATCATTAAAATGTTGTGGTGTGGTGTTCAGTGACTTAGGTTAGTAGTAGGGGTGGGTAAAAAAACTAAAAAACTGATTAAACCGAGAAAACCATGAAAAAATAATTGCAAAACTTGAACCGTGAAAAAAAACTAATTAAATCAATTAGAAGTTTTAAAAAATCATTCGGTTTGGTTTTGATTTTATAAGCCTGAAACTGAAAAAACCAAACCAAACCCCAAATTAAAAAAATTAAACCGAACCAAAATTGATCAATATAAATACTTTTCAAGAAACAAACATAATTTAAGTACACAATCATTTCCCACATCTTATCTCTCGAATTGTCAACACATGTGGCCCATGCTAGTATGTGTCTTTGCGTGGTTGCTTTTGCTTACATGGTTGCTTTTATGTTTGAAGCAACTATAACCAAATATTTGTTTGGTAAACATCAAAACATAATTTATTGTTATGGACCCATCATATATTGCGTTTAAAACACAAGAAAAATAAAAGCAACTTTGCGCTGCTATTCTTCGCTCACACTACTTATTAAAGTTGGATTTTATTGCACGCTAAAAAATCATGAAAACTATAGTTCTTATCTTATGAATTTTGTATGTAATGAAATCGTAGATAGTTTAATGGAACAATAAAAAATATTTTATATAAAGAAAGAAGACCCAACATGATGAATGCAAAAGAAAGGAGTTGCAAGCCACTTTCTATGTCGGCAATCGCTAGTGTTTAGACTCACAGCTTTTTGCCCGGGGCTAGGGTGAAAGAAACGATTTGCACGTGTCTAAGTCCACAATCGTTTTCCCCACAACTTATCTCTTGAATTGTCATCACATCTGGTCCATGCTAACTACCCTGCTTTAAACATTTTAAATGATTTATCACACCGTACCTAAAAGACTAGTAAATGTCAATTTAAGTTTGCAAACCACTGTCCTCTGATGTTGTGGTTATATATATATACCCTCCGAGATGCTGTTTTTAAATCATCCAAAAATTTAATAAAGGTAGGAAAATATTTTCTTCAATGGAGCTGGGAAGTATAACCGAGTTCCTGAACAACAAGTCCATTTTGGTCATTGGTGCAGCTGGATTTCTTGCGAAGAGTATTGTCCCCTCTCAAAAGAAATTTATTTCCTCAAGACTTACGAATTTATGATTTCGTCCCTTTAATTTTTGTAGTGATGTGCTGTGACAGAATCAATCTATTAACAATCTTGTTTTCTAACGTTGGCAGTTTTTGTGGAGAAGATATTGAGGGTTCAACCCAAAGTGAAGAAGCTTTATCTTCTTCTAAGAGCCGTGGACACTAAATCTGCTGAAGAACGCCTGCATAATGAGGTAAAATCTTCTTCTTTCTTTCCCTTTTTTGTATCTTAAATTTATTATATGTGCATCATGGACTGAAACATAGAATAGTTCTTGATACTATATTGGATATATACTGATTTATACAGGTGATAGGGATGGCCTTGTTTGATGTTTTGAGAGAGCAACATGGTGCAAGTTTATATTCCTTCGTTTATGAAAAACTGACTCCTGTTCCTGGGGATATCTCTTGTGTGGACTTGGGAATAAGAGACTCGTTGTTGAAGGATCAGATATGGAATGAAATTGATACGGTGATTAACTTCGCTGCCACCACCAACTTTGATGAAAGGTCAGCAAGGAAATTAACTGATTTTCATTAGTTCATTTCTTTTAGAGATAAGAGATTTAAATTCCTTTGCAACGAAAGATATTTAAGAATTTATTAATCACTAAAATCAGTAACGTTTCACTCTTCTTACTTATTTTTTTATATTGTTTGTTGAAGATACGATGTTGCATTAGGTATCAATACATTGGGACCTTTGCACCTCCTGAACTTTGTCAAGAAATGTAATAATGTTAAGGTGCTTGTCCATGTATCAACTGGTAAGAATATTTATTATGTAGTATGCACACAATCCACGCCAAGTATAATTTTTTGGAATCTTTAATGCAGACTAACGTCCATCTTCTCAATGATTGTGCTTTCGTCAGCTTACGTATGCGGCGAAGATGCAGGATTGATACAGGAGAAGCCATTTCCCTTGGGGAAATCCAAGAAAGGCACCGAAATGATAGACATCGACATGGAAAAGATACTGGTCGAGGAGAAATTGACGAACCTCCACTCAGAACATGCTGAAGAGAGTGCGATCACATCTTACATGAAGGATTATGGCTCTAAACGGTAGTAATATCTAATTAAATGGTGACAATTTTCGTTTAAGACATATATACTTCTTTGCCTGACATGATGTATTTTCCCTTGATCGTGATTAATTACAGGGCCAGGATGTTTGGATGGCCAAACACTTACGTATTTACCAAGGCAATGGGAGAGATGCTCCTAGTCCATTATAGTAGAGATACAGTACCTCTAGTCATTATCCGCCCTACTATGGTAACAAGTACTTACCAGGAGCCGTTTCCCGGTTGGATTGAAGGTGTAAGGTAATCTGCTACTGCATATCTGCATGCGCATCATGGTGTAAGCATGCATGGTTCTTAATTAATTTTCGAATCTCAATTTTTGTCCCCATAACACAGGACCATTGATGGTGTCGCTGTTGGCTATGCTAAAGGGAAATTGAAACACTTCCCGTTCAATCCAAAGTTAACAGTCGACGTGGTTAGCTAATACCCGCTTCGTTCTTTCATTAGTTTTTATATATATAAGCATGCCCAAACTGAAAATGTCCTGGAAATGATGCAGATACCAGCTGACATGGTAATCAATGCTCTTATAATGGCCATGGTGGAATGTGCAAACCGATCCACTACTTCAGAAATCATTTATCATGTAGGATCTTCATTGAGAAATCCGTTCAAATTCTCAAATTTTCAAGAACTAAGCATGCGGTACTTCGTTCAAAATCCGTTGATTGACAAAGATGGAAAGCCAATAAAGGTTGGCGAGTTTACAGCTTTCAGCTCCATGGCTAGTTTCCGTATATACACGGCGATTTGTTATTCGTTGCCATTAAAGGTTTGATCAACATAGCTAATTTAGTTCAGCTGCGTCTCAATTTCCAATTCTTTGGCATTACTTTATTTTCACATTTCGTTATGTCCATCAAAATTTAGTCTATTTCTATGGTTCATATTGTTCACACATCACCTGTTCATATTGTTCACACATCACCTGCATCATCATAGGTCCATCGTTCAAAAAGAGGATGTGATGTCATGATAGTTGCACGAAAAGTGTCCTTGTGGATAAAAAATAACAAGTTATTTAATGAAAATCTATTTTTACTAAATTATTTGAATATAAGAAAAGAAGACATCTGCGTATGAAAGCAAAGTCACATTCCTTATTAATTACTCCTATCTTATTGATTGACATAATGAAAATATCAATATTTTTTTTTTCGAATGTAAAAATATTGAAATAATAAATAATCCAATAAAATTAAGGTTGAATAATAAAAAAATTAACTATATAATAATAATAATAATAACAATAATAATAAGTTAAAGAGGATTTTGTAATGTTAGATTAATGTGAGGATTAAATAATGATAAAATAATTGTCAAGATTAGAGGATCCACTAATAGTATTTTAAACAAGTATAATATAAACTCTTTTTATTACTCAACTAAAAACCATACACAAAGGAGGTTCCAATCACATTATAAATTGTTAACATGATTATATTAGTTATCTTATTTGAACAAAGCTAATACCTGTAAATATTGTCTGATATTCATTATTATAACTTATGTTAATAATAAATAAAGTTTATTTCATAACACATGTGTCGGTTATACTATACGGTTAGGTTATGAAAGTGCTAAGTATTTATTGTACTAGATTTATATCAATTGTACTAGATGTTATATGATATAAATCTAGATCAACCATTTAACAAGTAAAGTATTAAAAGTGAACAAGATAACAAATACAAAAGATATTAGTATCAAACATTAAGGTCCATGTTAAGTTTATACTATACTTATTCCTATAGCATTAGTATAACCTTTTCACCTTGACATAATAAATTTAACTAAATATAATGAAAAAGAAAAACATAAATAAATAAGATAAGAACATAAATAAGATATAAGTTAACTAAGTATAGGAAAGGAAATGACAAACATAAACAAAAGATTACTATAAGCAAAACTTAAGCATTACAAAAATATAAAGAGAGAGCAAGAATATGATATTTATCTAAAAATCAAGATACCTAAATGAATAACAAATACCTTATTTTATAGGCAAAAATTTTAAACTATTGATTTATTGACTAATTGTTGAGTGGGTGGCCACATCTTGACTTGGTGACAATCCTTATCTTATTGTCTCAACAAAACATCATTACTAACATCAGAATTTGAACGGATTGTCTTATGAGTTCTAGGAAATTATCTTAACTTTCCAACAAAAAAAATAGATATATTTGGACTTCTAGAACTCGAGATATGAGTTGAATATTGAACAGTGTCTGAGCAGTAGGACAGATTTGGACTTCTCCGTTGTTGCTATAATTTCAACTTGGAAAAGGTATTTTTTGAATTTGGACTCTTCATAAAAGTTTTATGCCTATATCTTATCTTTCAATTTATATAGAGCAAACCTAAATCTAAGTTCTACAACTCCAGTTATCATCCAATAAATGAATGGTATTTCAGTTTCGACTAAACCAACATCTCTTTTCTAATCTTAGAACTCTATTTGTCTTCTTAATTTTAGTAGTTAAACTCATCTATCAATCCCTTAATTAATATGATAGGCCTACATTTAAGATGAATATTTACTATAAATTAAAGGTATCTTATAGTATTAGAAATAATATTATAAAGCATGATTTAGTTAAGGAGTTATTGATACTTTAAGTGCAAAATAATGATATAAAACCTTGCTAAAAATTTACTTTTAAGTACCAATCATTGAGTTTTGTAAGAATTGTTAATATCCAATTTACAAATGTCAAGTTATATTAGGGGTGAGTAAAAAAAACTAAAAAACCGATTAAACCAAAAACATAACTGAAAAAACCAAATCATGAAAAAAATCAATTAAACTGATTAGAATTTTGAAAAAACAGACTAATTCAGTTTGGTTTTATAAGTATGAAACTAAAAAACCTGAAATGAATCGACCCGAACTAAATCTAAAAAAACCGATCCAAACCCGAAAAAACCAAGTTAAACCGAAAAACAAAATAAAACCAGGCCAAACCGGTTTAAACATGTTTTTGTTTTAAAAATCAAACCGAACCGAAACTAGTAAGTTTTAACCGGTTTAAAAAAACAATTCGGTTTAGTTACTTTTTTAATAAAAACTGAACTGAACAAAAAATAATCACCCCTAGGTTAGGTAGTATTAGAAAATAATATAAATTATATATTGGAACATTATCTAACAATTTATGTTATTGGGTTGAATTGATTTTTTAACATGGTATTGAAGCCTTAATGATCAAACGATTACAAATTCGATCAAATCTCACTATCCTCATTTATATGATGAAAATTAAGCACAAGATAGTATAAGTTTGTACAATTTTTAAGTTTAAAGAGTTTTTACTTGAAAGAATGTCTTAAAAAATAATATAAATCATATCGTTGAAATTCACTTAATAGCTTAAGTTGCCCATACTTAAAAAAATGGTGGAAGAAGATAGAAATTGGTGCACCATGCATATGTCTCATGCATGATTACAATCTAAAATAAATAATTAAATTAACGTTTGTCTTATTCTATAATTGCGTTCCCTATCTTACAACATATAATCAAACATAAACTTCCTACGTATGTGATTGTTTTCTTATTAATCTCAAACTTACAAGTATTTTTTTCTCTTACCAGGTATTCCATCTAGCAATAAATACTGTTTCATACCAGAAACCCTACAACGACAAGTACACTGCTCTCAACAGAAACTTGAAACTAGGAATGCGATTAGCTGAGCTCTATAAACCTTATGTATTCTTTAAGGGCATGTAAGGATTTAGTTATTGAATTCCAACATTACAAAGATTACAAAAATAATGAATTAATTTTATCCTTTTTTACTCAGATTTGATGACGCAAACTCGGAAAAGTTGCAAATTGCTGCAAGAGAGACTTATTCAGATGCAGATGCCTTCAATTTTGACCCTACATGTGTTAATTGGGAAGCTTACATGATAAATATTCATTTTCCGGGTCTCGTAAAATATGTGCTAAAATGATATATGGCAACATTAATTTGGCATATTGTTCCTACGAATTGTTTTATAATTGATTGTAATATTTGGTGTTTTTTATTATGATGAAAACTAAAATTAGTGGAGAAAATAAATTATCCAATAAATGTAAAATTTAATATATCAAGTGTATGTTGTTAAAGACTTGTAATTTTTTATTTCTTGTTATTGAAATATGCTATTTTTCCTTAATGTTTTTTCGTTAAATGATTCAATATTCAATATATAGTTATATAATTTGAAAAATATATCACTCATATTCATATCATGTTCTTATACAATATCTTTTTTTTCCAATATTTTCAGTTAATTATAATTTTAATTCCAATATTCAGTTAATTTTAATTTTAATTTTAAAAATTTTTGTGTCAACAAAAAATTATGTGCATGAAAAGTTTGTATGTTACTCATGAAAGCTAAAAAAAGAAAATCATAAAAAATATGTTAGACCTAGTTATGTGGAGTTTTTAAACTAAAATTTTAATTGTTTGGGGCAGGACTAAATAATTGGAAAAAAAATTATTTTTTATTTTTTGGAAAAACTTCCCTTTATATATATATATGTGTGTGTGTGTACTTTAAAAGAGGAGATAACTAACAAAATTAATGATGTAGTAAACGATCATCTATAATCAAGTGCATTCCAATTCCAATTGAAAAATACCTAATATCATATTGTGATCAATTGAATTCGTTTATCAGAATTTGTTAAGCTGCAAGCAATATAAACAGATCAGAAGAAGAGTGTGTGTGTGTCCCTATGCGATGTCACATGATATATAGAATTACAACTCAACACAATCGGAGGAAAGAATGGCCACAAGCGTCGTAAATGTGTCACGATAATAAATTACTCATATCTATAAACCTTTGAGCTGCCCTAGTGCGACGAGAACGGTTGAGAAGTCCAATGATGATAGCGTAATGTTCTCCAGATATCTTAACTTTATATCTTTTAGACATTAGTTCAAAGATTCTGCAAGCATCATCTGCAAATCCGGCTTCATCACAGATTGATAGAACCACTTTGAAAGTGAAATCATTAGGAGTAAACTTCCTGGATCTCATCTCATCAAAAAGTTTGATTGCATCTTGCCATAGGCTATTATATCCATAAGCCTCTATGATGGCCGTCCATGTCATTGAACCCTTGACAGGAACTGCATTGAACACTGCTTCAGCACTATGAACCAGTCCACAACTCCCATACATCTTGACAAGCTCAGATGAAACAAAAGGAACGGACTCAAAATCTTTCTTCAAGAGATGTCCATGAATCTCTTTTCCAAACTTCAAGGTTTTAATTTTACTGCAAACACTCAACATCCTTGCCATTGTAACAGAGTCTGGCCTATGCTTCGACCACTGCATAAACCTAAACACATTGAATGCTTCATATATGCACCCGTTTTCTACATATGAATCAATCATGGCTGTCCATGCGATCACATTCCTAGCCTCCATACCATCAAACAACCTGACGCTATAATCCAAAACACCACACTTTGAGTACATTTTTATTAGAGAAGTAGTGAGAGATACATTTGGCAAGAACAATTTCTTTACAGAAAAAGCATGAGTTTCCTTCCCATGTTTCAGAGTCTTCAAATTAGCACAAACTGGAATTACAGTTGCAACCGTTACCACATCAGGCGTATACCCTTCTTGCTGCATCCAAACATTCCTTTCCCTCGATCCATAAAACACACGCCTCCCTGAAACCATGTCCCCACATTTGCAATACATATCAATTAACCCATATTGAATCGATAACTCCATTGAACAACCTTTCATATCTTCAAAACGTAACAATGAACCTCCTGGCCTAATCTCCTCGCCCATACTTCTCCTATCACCGGAAGAATAGTAGTTATAATAACAGAATTAGGATACAACCCTTCACTTACCATCCGCCTAACATAATCCGAAGCTTCCCATTGACGCCTGTTATGTGCAAATTGAGAAAATAAAAAAAAATTAAGAAAAAAATTAATTTTGGAATTTTCATCCTAAAGTTTGAGTATGTTTTTGATTAAATGGTAGAAACTATCTTGGTCATGTCTTCTTTGTGACTATATAGCAACAATTCGAAGTAAATAGTTAGTTTAATAATATAATAAAATTTAAAATTCTAAAAAATATTCATAATCTGTTTTTTTAATAAAAAAGTGTGATTGTAATTATAGATAATTAGTAAATATCTTAAATTGAAAACTCTTGTAAGAGTTTTAGAGGAAACAAAATATCATAAATCATCAAATATGAGATATAATATTTAAGTTTTAATATTACAAAATTAAAATGTATCTTTCTACCATGGTTACAATTATATTATGCTATTTTGAATTATTTTGTGTAATATAATCCATTTTTTCAGATAAAACCTATTTATACTAATAATTAAAATCATTAGCATTATATTATTTATGAATATTTTTATTTTGGATTGTACTTTTTAATTATATGTTGCAAGAAAATAAATTAATGATTCAAACTTAAATAAAAATTTATGATTTGTTTTATAAATAAATATTTTTTTAATATTAGTTGGATTCAGTTTAATAATATGAGGAATAGACAAGACGAAGTTTCCTTTTATGGCTATGCGATGCTTTTAGCTGAGAAGGCTGGATTTGGAGGCTGGCCGTTAGCCCACATGAGTTACCATTGAATTTTCGTTTTGTTGCAATCATCTCTTTTAAATCTTTCGTGTTGTTACAATCATCTCTTTTAAATCTTTTCGTGTTTATAGTACTGGTATCATTTTCATGTTGTTGCAATCATTTTTTTTTTATTGTATTGATAGTACTGATATTTAAATTTTAATATGTTTTAAAAGACTTTTTTTTATTCTTTGTTTTTTTTTTTTTACTTGTAGTTTCTAAAGACAAAGGATAGAGAAAAAAAAAAAGAGATCTTAAAGGCTCGGAAGCTTTGATAATTGTACTTTTAGAAGCATATTAAAGTATTAATGATAACATTATTAATATAATTAACAAAAATGTTAACAAGATAAATCCAACAATATTAAAAAAAAATATAACTAGTAAATAAAATAGGCTATATTAATTATCCATAAATAATGGGGTTCTCTTGTTTTCGAAGCTATATTTTTCTAATTATTTTTTATGATACGTTTCCAGCCAACAATAAATTAATACCTGTCATCAAAGCTTAAAGTACAACTGTAAATGATTACAAGCGAGCAGAGGATCTAACACAATGAATGCAAGAGATAGGAGTTGCAACCCGCTTTCTAGATCTACACAGTCGCTAGTGTTGAGACCCACAATTGTTTTCCCGTGGCTAGGGTGAAGGAAAAGAACTGCATGTTAAGGATATATTTAAATTTATAATTAATATAAAATTAAAATCATAACTTACATATTAATAATAAAATTAATTATGTTTAAATTAAAATAAAAAAATATTTTTCATGAAAATTAACAAAACATTAATTAAAAAACAAACTAAATTAACCCGAGTTAATATATGAAATCTCTGACTTAGATTATGCAATTAGGATAACTTCATGGAAAGTAAGTAAAAGAATTTACAAAGTTCAATTAAAAAAGGAACCGAAATATTAACATAGTCAACTCAAGTCAATTTGTTAACTTTACAATCTAAATTGTGAGATTGAGATAACTCATAGAAAATAAATTGAAAAAAATAATGAAGTTCATTTTTCAACCAATTTAATATTGAAAGATGAAATTAAAAAAAAATAGAAAACAAAAAAAAAACAACCCAAGTCAACTCACGCTTAAACCCATGATCGAAAGTATGAGATCATAATAAATTCATCGAAAGTAAATAAAAAAAAATTATAAAGCTTCACTAAGGAAAAAAAAAACTAAATCCATAAGATTGGGATAACTCCATAGAAGATAAATTGAAAAAAATTACAAAACTTAATTCTCAACAACTTAATATTCAATGATAAAATTTAAAAAAAAATCTAAAAAAAGAAGAAGAAAAATTGAGTAATTAGATGATGGAATTAAAAAAATCAATTAAAAAATGACACAAAAATATAATTAATTCAGGTCAATCTATCAAATCCATAATTTAAGTAATGACATAGGGATAAATAACCTCATAGAAAGAACATTTAAAAAAAAAAAGTTCAATTAAAAAGAAGCCAAAAAATAAACAAAGTCAATTCAAATCAACTTGCCAAACTAGTGACTTAAATCGTGAGATAATAATTTTTTTTTTATGAAACTCAATTTTAAATCATCATAATATTAAATGATAAAATAATAAATATATAAATAAAATAATTAAAAATGACAGAAAAAAGTAATCAAAGTCAATACGAGGTTAACTGGTTCAACCTACAACTGAGATTATGAGATCATAATAAATTTATAAAAAATAAATAAAAAATCAGTCATAAATCTTCACTTCTAACAAATACTTACTATTTGATTGGTGGCTTTGTTGTTTATTTATAGGTAGATCAAGTTTAATTTACTTCAAGTGTCGTTCATCTAAATGGAAGTTTAGAGAAATTGATATAAAAAATTACATAAAATAGTCTTAGTTAGAAGAATATTGAAGTTTTTAATTTATTTTGGATTCAAACCCAATAAATTTAATTTGTTTTGTCAATAGTAATCTTTAGATCATCGGCCAGATTTGTTGAAATTTTAATATATACAAAACATTTTATTTTTTTGAAAAAGTCTAACACTTTATTTTCAAAATAAAAATATAAATTCTTCTCATATAGAGAGAAAAAACAAAGAAGGAAATAAAAAAAGGATAATATAGTCTAACAATGGAAATCATATTCATAACCAAACCAACCATTTATCTATTGAATATAATCAAATCATAACTATTTGTCAATTAAAAAAAAGAGCTTAATCATTCCATTTGATTTATACAATTAACTAAGATTTAGATCATCATTACTATATCTATGTACATTTAGGCCACGGAGTCCTAGGAATTGTTTTGTAGTTGAAAATGAACTGCTCATAAAAAATGTTC